CCCTCCGCTCCCTTCACCCTTCCCTCCCCTTTTCCCTCCCATCCCCACTCCCCCCCTCCCCGTCCCCTCCTCCCCTCCCCCCCTCCCCCCCCACCCCAGCCCTCCTGCCTGCCCCCCGCCCCTCACACTCACACTGACAGCCGATCTGGTGGGTCGCGTTGAGGAGTCGGACACAGGGGGCCGTTGTGTTTAAATTGATGTAAATCTTCTGCTCGACAGAGTTGGTCCCACAGAGACCTGCCAGGGGTAGGGGGGGAGCGGGGAGGAAGAGCAAAAGATTCAGCCTGTGGTTCCTATCGTACCGCCAATCACAGATCTAGGTCACCCCGTCGCTTTTACACCATGACCCGTAATATTTGTCACACACTAACACCCAGCTCGTTTCCACAGACCAGGTCCAAAAATACACAACATCCTTTCTCACTGCACTGGACAGGTCTGACCCTTGGGAATGATCCAGGAACATTCTGTGTCCCTTACACTTCAGTATCATATTGATGGGGAACTGAATTTCTCTTCATCAGATCCACAGAGGAGAGCTCAGAGGTCTCTGTAATCCCCTTCCCAATGTGTTCATTTCCATCCCTTCCCGCTGATTACCAGCTCGAGACCAACATCACCCCAGCAGCACCTCACCGAACCAAACTCCCCAGATGGCCACTTTGCCCCCTCAGCTCCGCCACTCAACAGGATCATGGCTAATCCAATTACTCTACGTTCCTGCTGACCCCTTCCACTTCCAATACCTGATCAATGGGGAGGCGATGGCCGAGCGGTATTACCGCTAGACTCTGAATCCGGAAACTCAGAGCACGTTCTGACAACCCCGGTTCACATCCCACTATGGCGGCTGGTGGAATTTGGATTCAATGGAAAAACATCTGGAATTAAGGGTGGACTGACATCCACACTCATGGAATTGTATCTTACAATATCCCACACACCACCATCACCATCCCTGGATATGTCCTGTCCCACCAGAGGCGGGGCGGGGGGATACAGTCGGGAGGGAGTTGCTCTGGGAGTCCTCAACGTTGACTCTGGACCCCATGACGTCTCATGGCTTCAGGTTAAACATGAGCAAGGAAACCTCCTGCTGATTACCACGTACCATCCTCCCTCAGCTCCTCAATGTTAAACAACATTTAGAGGAAGCACTGAGGATGGCAAAGGCACAAAATGTACTCTGGGTGGGGGATTTCAATGCCCACCACCAAGAATGGCTCGGCAGCAGTATTACAGATCGAGCTGGTCGGGTCCTAAAGGACATAGCTGCTAGACTGGGTCTGCAGCAGGTGGGGAGGGAACCAACAAGAGGGAAAAACATACTTGACCCCATCCTTACTAATCTGCCAGCTGCAGGAGCATCTGTCCAGGACAGTATCAGTAAGAGTGACCATCGCACAGTCCTCGTGGAGACAAAGACCCGCCTTCACATTGAGAATAACCTCCATCGTGTTGTGTGGCACTATCACCGTGCTAAATGGGACAGACTTCGCACAGATCTAGCAACATAGACTGGGCATCCTGGAGGCGCTGTGTCCCATCAACAGCAGCAGGATTGTACTCCAGCACAATCTGTAACCTCATGGCCCGGCATATCCCCCACTCAACCATTACCACCAAGCCAGGGGATCAACCCTGGTTCAATGGAGTGCGCAGGAGGGCATGCCAGGGGCAGCATCAGGCTGAGATGAGGTATCAACCTGGTGAAGTCACCAAACAGGACTACTTGCTCACCAAACAGCGAAAGCAGCGAGTGATAGACAAGAGCTAAGCGATCCCACAACCAACAGATCAGATCTAAGCTCTGCAGTCCTGCCACATCCAGCCATGTTAATGTGGTGAATCAATGGGTATCAGGGAGCAAACTCTCCACTGGTTTGAATTAAACATGGCACACATGGTCACTGTTGGTCAATCATCTCAGCTCCAGGATATCTCTGCAGGAGTTCCTCAGGGTAGTGTCCTAGGCCCAACCATCTTCAGCTGCTTCATCAATGCTCTTCCCTCCATCATAAGGTCAGAAGTGGGGATATTCGCCGATGATTGCACAATGTTCAGCACCATTCGTGACTCCTCAGATACTGAAGCAGTCCATGTTCGCATGCAACAAGATCTGGACAATATCCAGGCTTGGGACAACAAGTGGCAAGTGACCTTTGTGCCACACAAATGCCAGGCTATGACCATCACCAATAAGAGATAATCTAACCACTGTCCCTTGACATTCGATGGTGTTACCATCACTGAATCCCCCACTATCAACATCCTGGGGGTTACCATTGACCAGAAACTCAACTGGACTCACTACATTAACACAGTGGCTACAACAGCAGGTCAGAGGCTGGGAATACTGCGGCGAGTAAATCACCTCCTATCTCCCCCAAAGCCTATCCCACCATCTACAAGGCACAAGTCAGGAGTGTGATGGAATACTCCTCACCTGCCCTGGATGGGGACAGCTCCAACAACGCAAGAAGCTCGACACCATCCAGGACAAAGCAGCCCCCCACTTGATTGGCACCACATCCTCAAACATCCCACTCCCTCCCCACACCGACACTCGGTCGCAGCAGTGTGTACCATCTACAAGATGCTCTGCAGAAATTCACCAAAGATCCTCAGACAGCACCTTCCAAACCCACGGCCACTTCCATCCAGAAGGACAAGGGGCAGCAGATACATGGGACCCCCACCCCCTGCAAGTTCGCCTCTGAGCCACTCCCCCTCCTGACTTGGAAATATATCGCCGTTCCTTCAGTGTCGCTGGGTCAGAATCCCTGGAATTCCCTCCCTAAGGCCATTGTGGGTCAACCCACAGCACATGGACTGCAGCGGTTCAAGAAGGCAGCTCCCCCCACCTTCTCAAGGGGGGCAACTAGGGACAGGGGCAAGAAATGTTGGGCCCAGCCAGCAATGCCCACATCCCATGAGTGAATTTAAAATGCATTTCGCTCATCAACAATCGATTTCTGCCTTAGAAATATTCAGGAACTCTGCTTCCTGCACCTTTTCACAAAGAGTTTTACAAAAGCTCATAATCGCCCGAGAGTAAAAAATACAATTTTTACAGCTCATTTGGGAAAATGTGCAATTCTGAAGATCCCTCCCCCCACAAAATCCCTGTTCTATCTGTCGGACAGATCCAGGTTCACAGAAACCACTCAGCAGTTTGCCTACTCAACAAAAAAAAAACTCATGTTTATTCCAACTAAGTGATTTCTCATCACAAGTAAACAGCTAGAAACTGTCAAATTTGGTTCTGCTGGTTGGGCCTCTGACTCTCACACACAAACAAACCCACAGGAACAAAATAAATTCATTGCTCATAATGCAATCTGCTGTACATTGGGGAAACGAAGCGTAGGCTGGGTGACTGCTTCGCAGAACATCTACATTCTGCTTGCAAATAGGACCCTGAACTACCCGTTTCCTGCCACTTTAACGCACCACCCTGTTCCCTGGCCAACATCTGTGTGTCAGGCTTGCTGCAATGTTCCAGTGAAGCCCAACGCAAGCTGGAGGAACAACACCTCATTTTCCGCTTGGGGACCCTACAGCCCTTCAGGCTCAATATCGAGTTCAATAATTTTACAACCTCAACATCTTCAGTGTCCTTTAGCCACCCCTACACCCCACCAGGGGATACTTTCAGCACAGTTTCACCCATGCATAATCTCCATGATTATCTATCCAGCTTTTATATCGAGTCACACAGCATGAAAACGGATTTCCGGTCCACCCAGTCTACGCTGACCATAATCCCAAACTAAGCTGGTCCCAAAAGAACTGCAGATGCTGTATAAATTAGAAACAAAAACAGAAGTTGCTGGAAAAGCTCAGCAGGTCTGGCAGTATCTGTGAACAGAGAAATCAGAGTTAACATTCCGGGTCCTGGTGACCCTTCCTCAGAACACTACCAGACCTGCTGAACTTTTCCAGCAATTTCTGTTTTTGTGTCCAAGCTAGTCCGACCTGCCTGCTCCTGGCTCATATCCCTCCAAACCTTTCCTATTATGTACTTATCCAATTGTCCTTTAAACTCTGTAACTGTACCCACATCCACCACTTCCTCAGGAAGTTCATTCCACACATGAACCAAACTCTGTGCAAAAAATAAATTGTCCCTCACATCTTTGGAAAAATCTTTCTCTTCTCACCTTAAAAATATGTCCTGTAGTATTGAAATCCCCCATCCTAGGGAAAGGACAGCTGCCACTCACCTTATCCATACCCCTCATGATTTTATTAACCTCTGTATGTTCACCAGGCTACCCAACCTCTCCCAGTAACTCAAACCCTCCATTCCCGGCAACATCCTGGTAAATCCCTTTTGAACCCTCTCCAGTTTAATAATATCCTTCCTGTAACAGGGCGACCAGAGCTGGACATGGCGCTCCAGAAGAGGCCTCGCCAATGTCCTGTACAACCTCAACATGACGCCCCAACTCCTACACCCAATGGTCTGAGCAATGAAAGCAAGTGTGCTAAACACCTTCTTAAACCCCCCATTTACATGTGACACAAACTTCAAAGAATTATGTATCTGCACCCCCAGGTCCCTCTGTTCTACAACACTACCCAGGGCCCTACCATTAACCGTATAAGTCCTGCCCTTGTTTGTTTTACCAAAATGGCATACCTCACATTTATCCAAATTAAACTCCATCTGCCACTCCTCAGGCCATTGACCCAATTGATCAAGGTCTCTTTGTAATTTTAGATAAACTTCCTCATTGTCCACTATACCAACAATTTT